GTAAATTTTGTGAAATCCATTTCATTTCTTGAAACATACCAGCTCAAGTAGGTATTTCAAAAACCTCAGCCACTATTTTTTTTCTTTGTAGAACTTATCCTCAGAAAAGTGACAGTCTTTTTTCTTCTTTTGTCTTTTGTTAACTGGTAGGAGAAATAACCAACTAATACAAGCTGTTGGTTCTATAAATGTAAAAAAAAAATCTTTAATGTTCTTAACAGTTGGTATTTAAGCCCTGTTGAAAAGCTGACTGGATCAAAGACAAAAATATTCAGCAAAGTAAAAGAATAGTGAAGAATGAAAAGCTGTATTAATCTCTACAAAGAGAGAAACAAATATTTATATACCAGTAGCTTTGCTCCTGATGTATTATCCACAGAGGAACAACCAATCCTTTCATTTGATAATGCATCAATGATACTAGTTGTTCTGCTGTGAATTTTTTTTCTGAATTTATATCTCTTCAATGTATTGGAATATCTCCATATACTCTGTTTGGACAGTGGGAAGAGGAAGGCAGAAAATAGGAATGGATGGTAATTTGCATGAAGTTATATGTTGCACTTTAAACTGCATATATCTCAAACCTCTCTCTGGGTTAAACTGTAAATGTAATTCCTTCTGTGGTGTATAGTAGGTATAGCAGTATGGTAAAGCCTTAAAGAAGTTCTACAAGTGATGTAACAAAAAATATTACCTTAACCCAGAAAAGCAGGAGGAAGTGAGGAAGAAACTCAAGACTTCTCCACCTTGATTATCCTTGTCATAAGAAGAGAGGATAAAATAAACTATCAGGCTTTCACTATTCTATTAAAAAAGTAGAATTCCTACGGTTCTTGTGTTTTTGTTTCCTGACTGGACTAATCTTGAAGGGTTGACAGCTACCTGCCATCACCATGAATTTCTTACCCCTTTCTCAAAGGAAATATTTTTAGATCTTTTACTGCCTATTTTTTCATTAGGATTTTCAGGGAAACTTGTGGTAATGCCTTTTTTCACCTGCGGTAGAAAAATAAAATGGAAAATGAGGAATTTGATCAGACAGTAAATAGTATTTGTCTGTTACCTAAGGCAGTTGATGGGCCTTCCTGGAGAAAATAAATATCAGAGATTTTAAAAAACAGAATGAGACAGAAAATAATCTCATGTTATCGTTAGAACTAAGCTATTTGTGCTATCCTTACACTAAGTAGAGATTCTAAAGCAAAAACCTGCTCCTTGCTAACATGTATAAATGCATACTGTATACACACATATTGTAGATTGCAATCCTTTATCAAAGATTCAGGAGCAATCTGCATAAATTCTGCCTTTGTTTTAAAGGAAACAAAATGTTCCCGCACTAGTGAAAAGGAAAGTGTTTGCTATGTGGTCTTTAGCCATTTCTCTGCAAGACTAAACCTTCTTTCAGCATCTGAGTCTGTCTAGCAAATGAGACTGGGAAGGGGCTCCCCTAATATCATATATTGTGAAAACCTTCCCTTTTAAGCACAATAACAAATCTTTCTAGTACTTTAAAGTTAATGTATTAAGAAATATTCATGAAATCCATAGTTTACCAAACTTACTTGGTTCCACAATGCCAACCCCATTTTTCAACAAAATAAGGCAACTGCCAGAGTTGCCACTCATTTCTACACTTACTTTTTCTCTGTGTATTACAACTGTTCTCATCCCAGTTCCTAAAACTGGTATAACCAGGCTCATCTTTTCAGATATCATTAAGATCAACCAATTGTGATCAAGTCACAATGATTTTAGTTTTACTTCAGTAGAGGTAGGGTGCTTCCACATAACCCTTTATCTTATTTCTGCCTCCCGTATTGACTTGTCCTAGCAGTGGAAAGGATCCAGGATCACCATCTTTCATTTGTAGCTTTCTTCCATTTTCCCAACTCTTAAATAGAAATCCTATCTAAGGTTTATAGCACTCTCAAAAAATTATTGTGGTTTTATTTTCTTTTAAAAAATTGTCATTCAATGTGATGATAGGGAACATGTTTTAGAGCTTTATTTTAAAGAGAATTTCAATTTTCACTGGTATAAAATTAGTTTTCCCTGTTTTTCTACTTCTCCAATAAATCTGATGGGGAAACATGATTTTTCTTTTTGTCTTCAAACTGTGGTGTTTGGGCAGGTAGGAAGAAACCAAGAATAGCAATAGTAGCACCTTCTTTCACTTAAAAAAAAAGAAAATAAAAGCTAAAAAATATCACCAACAAAAATGTAAAATAAACCCTCAAGAACCCTGCGACCCAAGCTGAAAAATAAAAGCCTGTTTTTCAGAGGAAATAAATATTTGAGAAATCACACAACAGATTGCAGATTCACTCAAAGTTAGTCTTAAAGGAATGTAAGTTCACATTCTTGGTGCAATCACAACTCCACTTTCTGGTTTTCTTTTTTAGCTGAGGAAATTTAGAAAATATAACTGTAGCCCTCAAACACGAGGGAATATATATCCACTATATCTTGATTTTGATCCATCCTCTAAAATGGGATCTTTTATAAATGATAAAGCCCCTATTTGAATTACAGGTATCTTTCAGCAAGGCTTAGAATACCATAAACATAATTTAAAGAAAGATATGTATAAGTATAATCTTTATTGTCATTGTACTTAAATACAACAAAATTGTATTCGTTGTACATGTTGTAATAATTCCCTATGTCAAATTTATTGAATAAAGCAAAGAGAAAGCATATTTCTTAACACATAAAAATGTAATTGCCACACATGAAAGGGAATTCATATCCTTTAATAAAACTGAGTATGACAGAGTTTATTGAAGCAAAATTCTTCAAAGTAATGGCAATATAAATATTGAATAAAATCAAAACAGTCTGCTGTGCCTAAGTTGAGATATATGCTCAGCAAGTTATGTTTGAAAAATATGCAATAAAAGCACCTTTCAAAGGATATCATCTTTTACTTAGGAACCCAGAAATAAAAAATTCAAAGAGAAATCATATAATAGGTATGTCAACAATAATGGATTCAACAGACAATCCAATCAATAGCATTGCTTTTAGGCACTTGGCAATAATTCTCATACTTCCCTTTGGTTCAATGAGCCAAAATGTTGGATTGAGAAAAAGGGGAAAGTGATAAAAAAAATTTAAGTTATATTATTCATTTCCAAAGGGTCTAGCTATAAACAGACCAGGAGACCTCTGATTCATGAATACAAGATTTCTAGCGCTCTTCAAAGTGCTCAAGAACTTGTTTACCAAGGAAACCCTAGTACAAAACATGACAATGTTTCTCTTTCTCCATCAAAATCAAAAGTTAAACTGCTGTAATTTGTAGACATAACACATTAAAATTATGTTTTATAAAGCATCTGGAACTGTTCTACATATTTTGTTACTTGAAATGCAGACTCAAAATGGCCTAGTTTCCTTTGTAGTAACAACTTGACAGCTCATGATTTATTGGGTCATTGTTTCAGAGATATTTCTTTACTAAAACAGAATGACCAAGGGGGGAAAAGCAGTGGGAGCAGGAGCAACCTCTGACTTCCTGAAGGCTTGATTATGGCTGATAACTCTCCAACAGCCAATTGGTCTACCTGGCCTTCAGTGGGCTAAGGTGAAACTACTCTACCTGATTTCCAAGAAGAAGCCAGCCTATCCAGGCACCTGAGGGCAGAACTGGTCCACTGAACTTCTGAGAGGCAGTGGATTTCTTAGAGGACATCAAATAAAAAAGGATTTCAATATTACTAACCAAACAATAAATAAAATACTTAGAGCATTAGTCTTTCTGTACAATTCTTACAAAATATTAGATGATAAGGCTGAAGATGATGACTGCATAAGGCAATAGTAGTATCAATAATATTTGGCTTTGCAATCTAGTGAGGCTTGGCAGAAAATCTTACTCTTGGGAGTTTGGCAAGGGTAATGTGACAAATGAAATAAACTTGAACCAACAGCATTTAAGATCTTTTTTTTTTTTTTAAAGCATGAGGATTCACTGTAGTGTCTCTTGAACATGAATATTGTTTCTGTTTTGTGATGGAACTTCTAAAAGCCATATGAGGAACTGAAAGACCAAAGTCTTCTGTAAAGAGTAAAGGGATCAGACACTTTCATTACAATAATAATGCACCAATATCTACCACCCTTTCCATTGAGAAATAACTAACTCTTGGTCAGCTGGGGCACACAGACAGGAAAACGAATACAAATTAGAACCTTGGAAAAATAGAACAAAAATATAAGGCTGGAAGCTTCTAATTGCCATCTGCTAATTTTCTGCTCTACTTATGCCATTTCTAATAGTTGAAAAAAATAAAAAACTACTTAGGGTCCTAGAATCTTGCTCTGTTACTTTTTGAGTAACAATCAGGAAAAGGCCTGGTAAGAAATATAAATTTGCAATAGAATTTTCATCATAAAAAGAAATACATATGAAAGAAAATGTGGCTGCAAGATAGAAAATGAATCATCCCAAAAGTCAATTTTCAATTCCCAAAATAATTTTACGATATGCTGAGTGTTAAATGGTTAATTTCAAGAATAATCTGTAAGTCTGATATTTTGTGATATTTTGTTTTTGACCCTAAAGCAAATCACTCCCACAAAAGAAGGACACATGCTAATAAAAACAATCACTTTTTAATATTTGAGAAATACAGTCTATGAGAAAGAAAGTAATAAATATTCAAGACTAAATAATAGCATTAAGAAAGATAAATTTACTAAGATGAAGTTAACCACAATTTGGGTTTTCACACTTTGTCCTCCACTCCATCAGAGATTTTGATTTCATTAAGTTTGAATGAAGGTTTGATGCATCTTAGGATCATTTAATGGAAAAAACACACTTGCTTTCATAATGGCAGAAACAACTAGTTAACATGTCACAGCATGGTCATCTAGGCATCAGCCAGACCAGCAGTTGGCAATACACTGGGAATGGGCATTGCTGGAAATACCAGAGAAGTCAGTCACATTTGGTATTCCCTCATTCTTTCTTGAAGGGTATCCTCCATTTAGGAATGCTTCCTCTTCTTCATAGTTTCTGCTTTGACAGCCAAGCTCTTTGCACAAATGGTCAAGATCACAATTAGGACTCCAACCAGGAATGTGACCACTGGCCAAAGGAAGCAGTGCAAAAGAACAGATTCGTCGTGTGTACGTTGTAGCAATACATCATCTGGTCTGTAATAGGAAAGACAGCAGAATTATGGGTGGAGAGTTAGAATCAGCCATCCATGAACATAAAAGATATGTTGTTTGCAACATCAGCAGAAACAATATACTGTCATGATTTCTCTACATTTTTACAACAATCCGATTTGCGGGGAAGAAACTAAATTAAATACAATTGATCTTGATATGTTCTTGGATATGTTAATATGTTTTGGAGCCCTGGTGGTGCAGTGGTTAGAATGCAGTATTGCAGGCTGACTCTGCCCACTGCAAGGAGTTCAATCCTGACGGGCTCAAGGTTGACTCAGCCTTCCATTTTCTGAGGTCAGTAAAATGAGATTGTTGGGGGCATTATGCTGACTCTATAAACCACTTAGAGAGTGCTGTGAAGCACTATGAAGTGGTTATAAGTGCTATTGTTTTGCTATTGCATGCAGTTCTAAGTCTCATGAAATAAAAATGCTTGCTTGTTTTTTTAATTGTCCCTTATTTGTGAAAGCTAGTGGAATAGTGGAAGCTATTGCATATATAGCAGTGGTTTTTCTGAGATGGTTTGTTTTTAATCTGTGAATGCTTCCACTGCATTATACCTACTGGCACCCACTTTCAGCATGCATGCGCACAGTTCCTAACAAAGTACAAAATTAAATACAATATACTTCTCAAATCAAATTGCATGTTTAACTATTTATATGTAGCTGATTGTACATTTAAAACAAGAAACAATGAATATAACAAGCATGGGAATGAATGTCCTTCCAAGATATGCTATGTAACACATCAGTTGAGAGAAATAAACATTTCTAAGGTGTTTAGAAACAGAAAGAAGGATGGATATCTTAGAAACATATCTCCAAATTAAGTACTTATAGGAGAACAAAGAAATTCATTTAGAATTGCCTTTCATAGACCCCAAACTTGAAGATTATTGAAAAACCATGTGGAAATCTTAAACATGCAGTCAATGTAATAAACATAATGTTGGAACCTGACAGTTTGTCAGAGCTGCCACCCGGTGCTCTCCACCACCCTTTTTTTAATGTATATTTTTTTATTTTTAAACAAACATAGACAGACAAGACATATAACAAAAAAATGTCTTCCATTACATACAGTGTGTCGATTGGTTACAAGATTTTTTTGCATCCTTTCCATAATCACCACTTAAACTTTATATAAAGTCACATATTATCAGTCGGCTATATTTATATGCATTATTATTATAGTGCTTCTATAAAATTGTTTATCTTCTTGTATTCTAATTTCATATGTCAACTTACTCATTTCAGCATATTCCATTATTCATATCATCAATCTAATATATATGTATACAACTATTATTATTATTGAACATTCATTGAATATAACTATTATTACATCCTTTTTATGTGAAGCATGCTAAATTTAGAATAGATTTATATTATGGCATTTCATTACATCATCCTTAAATCATCCAGCGGTATTACATCTTTATATTCCCACTTACAGTTTATATAAAATTTCATATTATCAATCTAGTGTATATGTGCATTATTATCCTTGTTAATCATTTATTGGGCTATAACTATTATTACTTTGTCTTATACATAATACTCAACATTTAACTAAGTTTAACTTAATTTTTATTGTAACATTTCATTTCATCATCCTCTATACTTCCAGTAGTAGTGCCATCCAATATCTCTTGCCATTTGTAAAATCTGTATTCTATTTATTTTCTTGATAAATCTCATGTGGACTTATTTTGGCAACTTGTTGTTCATTGCATATCTTTTAAGAACTCGAAGCCCTCCATCTGTTCCTTCCATCAGCTTGCCTTTGGGTATCATTGGTGCTTCTGCCAAAATTACTCGCATTGTTTCTGCCAGATTTTTTCCCTTTTCTTCTTCCATGTTTTGAGGTCTGAGATAGAAATCCAGTTCATCAACCTCTCCTTTCAATATTCCACACATATCATCTCCCTCCACTCTTGGTTTGCTGTCAATGTCAACAATTTTCTTATCACTTTGTTCATGTTTTTCTGGAATTTTTTGAACTCTATCTTCAATTTTCATCATCGTTTTGTAAATATACTCAGCTCTTCCCTCCATTCTTTCTGTTCTTTGTTCTATAATCTCAAGACTCTTTTCAATGTTCTCTGTATTTATTAGTATTTTTTGAATTTCTAGCATAATATTTTGCAATGTTAATTCCTTTTCTTCTTCATGTTGCGCCATTTTTCCAGATTGTAAGCACTGCCACTGAACCAACCAAGGCTTTTTGCTAGATTTCAAACAAATTCACTATAATCTTTCAAGTCCAGGCTTTCTCTTTACTCCAGTCCAACTACTGATAATACTCCAAAAGAGCACCTGTATAAACAAATCGTGCTCGTCCCACTGTTCCTTTCAATAAACAAAATCAAGGACTTTGAGATATAAAATATAAGTCAAATGTTCATAGGAATTAGTGTTTCCAAGCCTCTAGGTGGCAGTGTTACTTCTTTTCCTTCTACTTTTACCCTTTTCTTTGTTCCGAACTTGAGAAAAAAAATGCTTAAAAGGTGCAATCCACCCGAACGTTGCAAAAAGAGATTCCAGATCCACATATACAAAAAGTGAGGAAAAATAGAAGAAGGAAAAAAGAGACCAGTCCAATTTAAAAAATAAGAGGCATTTTTAAGAATTCCATCCATTAAAAAAATGAAGTTAAAGCTAGCTAACACAAAAGAGGATCAAGATCTTACTCAACCAAAAAATTACCGACCTATGTCATTACTCAATATAGATTATAAATTTTTTACTAAAATACTAGTGAATAGGTTAATGTTGGTTATTCAGCAATTGATTCATAATGATCAAACACGCTTTATACAAGGGAGACAAATGAGAAGTAATGTAAGACAAATTGTTAATATATTGGAATATTTGGGAAAGAATAACCAAATCCCTGCTGCGCTTATATTTCTAGATGCCGAGAAAGCCTTTGATTGAGTGAATTGGCAATTTTTATTGAAAATAATGCAAAAAATGCAAATAGGAGAGCACTTTTTACAATCAATTAAAGCAATATATCAGGAACAAACAGCTCAAATCATAGTCAATGGAAGCTTAACAGATCCATTTAAATCGAGAAAGGTACAAGGCAGGGTTGTCCCCTATACCCATATTTAATACCTATACTATTTATCATAACTCTGGAATTATTGTTGAATAAAATT